GGTGACCCTCAAGGTTACTTTGGTAACCCTTTTAAAAATCGCTCCCTGACTCCCATCTTCTCCAGGGATTTGCCAAGGCAGTGGTGATTTCCTGGCTGAGCGGCAACACCAAGAGTGTCAGCGAGGTCTCTCGAGGGCTATAAGCATCTCGTTATAACCCATGAACCCACTTTGCAGTTGTGTCTGTGTGTTCTTCTGACCTGGCTGTAGGTATAAGATTTAGATAAGCAGCCCTCTGGCTCACAGCTCCACATTGGCCTGTGTGGCCCCTGCATCGGATCCACAGGTCTTGTGCTGGCCCCAGCAAGAGGCTGGATGGGAGCAGATCTCTGGCCACCCCACCCTGAACCATTACCCCAGGCTGCACACAAGTGCAAACAAGCACCAAGAGACAAACTGCTTTCAACTCTGTTCTAATTTACTATCAAATAGCAGAGCCAGAGATGGCAAAATTGCTTTCTGAAATAACATTTCTCCTTTCTTTCCCTGGGTGTTGCAGGCTTGGTTCTAACCACGCCTGGAGATAAGAAGGGAACGCGGAGCAAAAGCAAAGAGTTCTACAGCGAGCTGTGGTTCATAGTGTTAATGGCGATGCTGGGCTTAATCTTGCTGGCCATTTTTCTGTCCCTGATACTACAAAGAAAAATACACAAAGAGCCATATATCAGAGAGAGACCTCCCTTGGTACCTCTTCGGAAGAGGATGTCTCCATTGAATGTCTACCCACCAGGGGAAAACCATATGGTATGTCTGCAGTGGTGTGGCCCCATTTCCCTATCACTGGACTAGAATATTTGTTTTCCTTCTGAGAAAAATGTTTCATAGCCATAGTGACATGGAACTAGATGTAAGTTACGTTTCATTAAGTGTGGGGACCGAGGGACGCTAACCCTAGAACAACTTTCTCAACTTTGGCTGCACATTAGAATCACTTTAGAAAACTCTAAAAAAACTCACTGCCTGGACTTCATCAGAGGAATTCTCATTTCACTGGTCTTGAGTAGGGCCTGAAGATTGGTATTCTTTTTTTCACTCCAAAAATGATTTTAGTGTGTAACTAGGGCTGAGTATTTCTGCCCCATAATTGAAAGCCAGGGTGTGGTGGGGAAGAGTTGTATGTTGAGATTACCTGGGGAAATTTTAGGCTGCATTACTGTGTAATTTAGGGGGATTGGACATTACAAGGGGGAGATGGGAAGGAAGGAGCTAAAGTGGTAGTGGTGTCCTTTCTGTCCTCAGGTCCTGACACCCCGTGCCACAGGGGATGGCTGGCGCCTCTTAGCTCCAAACCACTCACTCCCAAAATAGGAGGTCCAGTAAAGGTCTGGTGGGACAGAGCTCCATCACTTGGTGGTGTGGGATAGTTGTTGCTCAGAGCACTCACTGAAGGGTAAAAGGTGATTTAATTCCATGATGCACTCTGGTGTGGGGCTATGTCTACCCGAAGGAAAAAAGACTGCGTTTTCTAATCCTCACCAGGTACCCATGTGTTTCCTAAAGCTGTGTGCCTATAGGGCTACATCTAGAGGAGGTACCTTTTTTCCAGTTTGCACTAAGGTTCTACATTAACTAGTGGCTACCCTAGGCAGTCTCAAAATTAAGCACAGAAGCCCGGTCAAGCTGCTTACATTTCAACATTTTAAAAAATGGCAGTGAGTGAAAAGAGCAGCATTGTCTGCCTTCCAGACCTCTGCACTTCTCCAGGATTCAGCGACGAATGAGCAGTGGGTAAGCCCCAACACAGTGGGATCAGACTGTAACAGCAGAAGTGTTGGAAGCACGAAAGGGCAGTGGGGCCTCCGAGGTCCATGGTTTGTGGTTGGTGTGGGCAGTAGAAATGGGACAATGATGAAGAAGGCACTGCCCGGTACCCTGGGGGCCTTGGCTCTCTCTCCAGTCACATCTGTCCCACTCCTCTTCTCACTCACCCTCCTCGGAGCCTCCCTCCTCCCTGAGCCCATCAGACAAGCTTTAACCACAGGCCCATTGCTGCTGCTGCTTGGGTGACTCACACTCTGGCTTCATCCACGTCTTTGCACAAATGTCACCTCCCATTCGATGTAAAATTTCCTAGCCCCTTAACCCACTTGTTTTCTTTTCCATAGCACTTATCACATGACACTAAATCAGCTATATTTTTGTCTGATTCTTGAAATAGAATGTAAGCTCCCAAGATCAAAGATTTCGTGGGCCTCTTCCTGTTGTATGTGTCCCTGACATCTGAAACAGTGCATGGCATATCACAGACACTCCATGAATGTTTGCTGAATAAATGAATGTCAAGTGACCACTTCAAACCATGGGCCACTTGCTCCTGTTCAGTGAATAGTCATTAGGAGATTCTCAGTGAGGAGTAGATACTTCAAAATTTTTCCTTGCTAAAGAGTAACTTTCTTTAAGGGGCCCATGTTCTTACAGGGTGCCCTGCTGCCAGAGGAAGGCAGTAGAAGAGAGAAGAAGGCAGGAGAGATCTGTTGAGCCTGGGAGATTAGCTAAATTGATCCTAGGGTATGCATGGAGTAGCGAAAGGAAGTTCCCAAGCACTGCTGGTGCATCTACTCTATAATGTGAGGCACAGTTACAGGAAAGCTTACCCACATACCAGCAGTGTCCAGAATTCATTCCAGTGATAAATTATCCTCTCCTTTGACCCAGTCCCTACAGGCAGGCACCTCTGTGTCAGAACCCTCCCTGAGGAGGAATACCATCTTCCTTACTTGGTTAACTTAGTGACCAGGAGACGCTCCCCTCAGGCCTGTGGGGATGTTATGTTACTCTGCATATAACCCCATTCATTGTTCAGGGTTTTAATGAGTCTTGTTAAGCTTCATTTTGTCAAAGTGAGGACCACGAACTGTCTGCATCAGCATCACATAGGAGGAGCAGGACCTGAAGTTCTGAGGCAGAAACTCAGGAATCTGCCATTTCAGCTGGAACCTCAAGAAGTCTGATGCACAGTGAAATTTGAGAACAGCTGAAACTGAACTAGTAATACAAATCCCATATGCAGTATGTACTGTTTGATACCCAGTAGAAGCAGGTGGTAGGAGGGGGCTGGTTAGACGTTGCAGTCCTGACACAACACAGGCTACGCTGCCTCTGGGGACAGACATAGGCTTCAGCTGGGAACAGCAGACAAAAGAATTTAAACACCTTGTTCCTGTACACCGTTTACCATCAGGGAAAAGCACAGCAGCACCCAGCTGATTCTTTTTTTTTTTTTTTTTTTTTTTTGAGACTGAGTCTCGCTCTGTCGCTCAGGCTGCTGTCGCTCAGGCTGGAGTGCAGTGGTGCAATCTCACCTCACTGCAACCTCCGCGTCCCAGGTTCAAGCAATTCTCCTGCCTCATACCCAGCTGATTCTTTCACTGAGTGGCCAAGACTGAGTCAGGTGTGAAGATGGGATGGCACCGAGGGACTGGCTGGCTGCCAGGGACTCTGGGCCCAGGGAACTGTCCCATCCTCAGCAGGGAGGCTGTTCATTATAGGCAGGTCTCAGCAGAAGTGAAATCTGGGGCATGCCAGGGCACCCGGTGGAATTCCCCTGAGCCTGTTGAATCATAATTTAATCCTATCCAGTTGACAGAGTGTACTTGCAAGTCTTCTTCTGTTGCTTTTTTAAAATATTTTTAAACCAAACTGCTCTCGCAAAGTTGGAGACCATGAGAGACATTATCAAAAATTAGCCAAACTAAAGAGAGTACAATTTGCATTCGTAGAGCAAAATGAAGTCCTTGTCGGTGGACTCCACATTGACTCAGATGGGAAAGAATCCACTCAAGTGGAAAAATCTGAATAGGAACAAGCCAGATTCACCTGCTCAGTTTTCCAGATTGACTTCTTTTCACCTGAGTAGGTCAATGAGCTGTGCCCCGACACACACACACACACACACACACACACACACACACACAAACTTCTCCCCCTCATTTGACAAGCTCTGGTTTCAGTGCTGCTGTAACCCTCTTCCAAGCACCCCTGCCGTGTGAACAGGTAAGGTACCCTTTGAACATCAGACCCAAACTGGCAACAAGATTTTAGGCTATTCTCCGAACAGAGAGAAATAGGCAGAGGTGCCAGGAAATGAGAGTGTCTTTTGTTTTCATTAACATTTTTCAAGGCCGGGTAGTATACAGTACAGCTAAGTTCAAGTGCAAGTTTTGCTTGTTATTTAATTACTGGTTTGAAGATCCTTTCATTCTCTGCAATACTAAACAAATAATGGCAGTGGTGTTTACCTTAGATACTGATCAGTTTGTTGTTTCCACTTACCGGGGGCGTTTGTTTGTTTATTTGTTTGTTTGTGTTTGTTTTTGGGATACAGTCTTTTTCTGTCATCCAGGCTGGAGTGCAGTGGTGCGATCTCAGCTCACTGCAACCTCTGCTTCCTAGGTTCAAATGATTCTCCTCAGCCTCCAGAATAGCTAGGACTATAGGCACCTGCCACCATGCCCAGCAAATTTTTGTATTCTTAATAGAGACAGGATTTTACCGTGTTGGCCAGGCTGATCTCAAACTCCTGACCTCAAATGATCCACCCACCTCAGCCTCCCAAAGTACTGGGATTACAGGCGTGAGCCACTGCACCCAGCCTTTCCACAAGGTTTTAGTTGTAATACCCAAGTTTCTCTCTCTCACACATATTCACACACACACACACACACATACACACACATATATATATATCTCCACATATATATGTATATATACACACATATGCATGTATCATAGGATATATATATATACATATATCAGAGTAGTATTAAAGATGGGTATGATAATACTGTCATTAGAGAAATGCAAAGAATATGTTTAAAACTGTTCCTAACATGGACTGACGCTGCCATTTTTTCTCAGTTTGACTCTGTGGCTGATATATCTGATGTGTCAAGCAATGTCACCCTAAAAAGTTACACCATGCACTTTGAGGTACCTCTGTGTGCTGCATGAATGCATGATCTTTTGCATGGCGTGTTGACTGCACAGTGAAAATCAAGACGAGATCATCGATGACTTCCGTATATGCAGTCCTTGGAAAGCTGAACAACATGAGTGAAAACTCTATTAAAACAAGAAAAAGTAGAAACATTTCATTGATTGGACCAGCGAAATTAGAGCCCTCACATATTTAGAGCAACTAGATTTTTCTTATGGCACATTCTAGGTCTAAATTATGGAGTGACTTTGGCTCTCCAATGTTAAGGTTAATATTAGACCTGATTTAATTTGGAGGCTGGAATCCTAGAACAAGGGGAGGAAGATGGAATGAGAAACGAGAGGAGGAGGAGTCAATTTCCCTACACAAATCCAGGACCTTTAAAGAGAAAGACAAACTGAGCTCACGTAGTGGGCAACCATGAAATAATAGTGTTATCTTTGGCTGCTTTGGGGAGGGGTGTTCTCAAGAGGGAGGCTCTGTGCTGATATGCATGAAGAGAATACCTTGTTCACCCACCATCCATCTGCCTTGCCCCACCACTTTGCAGCGCAGCAAGCCCTTGTTCTCGTCTGGGGAACAAGTGCCAGAGCACCAGTGCATGAGCTCTCTAGGCGCCCAAAACACTGGCCACCTAACTTGAGTATTAGCTCATCATCTCATCATTCCTACCGAGAAACCCAGGGTCACAGTGTTCTGGGTGCTTATAGCTGCTAAATTCTGTAAGTGACAGTTGTTCCCTTCATTGACAATGTGACAATTGTCTGGAGACAGTCATTCCCTTCACAGGCAATGTGTGAGACACAGTTATATTTCAAGCCTGTATTCTTTATATATGAATCACTCACAGCAACTTCCTTTTCAGGGATTAGCCGATACCAAAATTCCCCGGTCTGGGACACCTCTGAGTATCCGCAGCAACCGGAGCGCGTGTGTCCTGCGCATTCCGAGTCAAAGCCAAACCAGCCTAACCTACTCCCAGGGCTCTCTCCACCGCAGCGTCAGCCAGCTCATGGACATTCAAGACAAGAAAGTCTTGATGGACGACTCGCTGTGGGAAGCCATCATGGGCCACAACAGTGGACTGGTGAGTCGGTTTCCTCCTACAGGGCCTTTGCTAAGTATCCCAGAAAAATATTGGTACTGAATGCTGCCCCATGGCACTTTGCCTCTGAGCACTTACCCAGTGAGGTAGTAACAACTGGTTTACTAGTGTTGCTACAATTGTGTGATAAGCAGGGTAGAAACTTTGTCTTGTTCTTCTGGTACATAATAGATGCTTAAAAATGAATGCATAAATAAGCAGCAACAGGTTATACTTCATAAACCTGGAGCAGAAGGTGACTGGAAACATTGGAATGTGACTAAAACAAGGCAGAAAGTACAAGTACTTGTTTTACTAAAACAAAAAGATAATCAGCCTTTACCTATTGGTGTATAAGTAGACACAAAAAGAATATTTTCTGGCTGGGCGCGGTGGCTCAAGCCTGTAATCCCAGCACTTTGGGAGGCCGAGGCGGGTGGATCACGAGGTCAAGAGATCGAGACCATCCTGGTCAACATGGTGAAAACCCGTCTCTATTAAAAATACAAAAATTAGCTGGGCATGGTGGTGCATGCCTGTAATCCCAGCTACTCAGGAGGCTGAGGCAGGAGAATTGCCTGACCCAGGAGGCGGAGGTTGCGGTGAGCCGAGATCGTGCCATTGCACTCCAGCCTGGGTAACAAGAGCGAAACTCCATCTCAAAAAAAAAATATTTTCTATCAACAGCTAAACATGGTTGCTTTCCAAAACACTTAGGAAATGATGACAAATGAGGATGTTACTATTTATATGCTTCCTCTTTCATAATTTCAGTCCAGTGGGTACAAATAAGTGGCTCTTTGAGAGGTAACCTATTAGTGACATATTTGTTATCGGTCTCTGACTGACTGAGATAACAAAAATTCTAGATTTTTGCCAACCATCACATTTCATTGGGTTAACTTCCTAGATTAGATGCCCACTGCAGGATCTTCCACTGGGCTAGTTTAGAAAATAAACAGATAACCAGCTAGAAAGTTAGCTCCTCTGTTTACTCCTCTGGGGTAAAATTATTCACCTCCATTTCTTTCAATCATCTGCTCTGTTTTTGGATTTACACTCATCTTTCTTCTCCAAGTTCTCACTTTTCCTTCACTGATGACATCCATGAAGGCTTTCTTGACTAACAGCAAATAATAAAGGGAGTTCCCTGGATCCAGACTCCCTAACACTATAAAAAAAAAAATGTACAGTCCTCCTTGCCTGTTCAGAATGATTATATAATATATCCATATCTATATGCATTTTTAAATCACAGACTGTTTGAAATTGTTATAACCTCAATTACATGATTCCATTCAGTCCTAAAGTTTTTAAAACGCAGGGATAATGGGTTGAAACAAGGAATTGCTAATTGATCATTTTTGACATGCAAAACAGCAATTGCTACACGTTCAACATAATACATTGAAAGTTCAGATAAATCATTTCACCTAATCTTCTTCACAAACGGTAGGAGGTAGGCTCTATTATCATCCTCATTTTTACAAAGAGAACTGAGGTTTAGAGAGATGAGTGATTTAATGAGAGATTACACAGCTGGCAATATTTTCATGGGTTTGGGATCTTAAAAACATCATCTGACTACACAACTTCTGTTTGTATTTATTATACTATATTGTCATTTTGGCTTGCTTTTTACAGTACTAGTAATGGGTGATGTGCAAACAGATTCAATACAAACTTTCAAAGGGGCTAATACTTGGCAAGCTATCTGTTCATTATAACATTATTAACCCTATTTGATAAATACAAAATAGAGCACAGGAGTGGGAAGAAATGGAGCACGCACAGCTTGCATTCTGGCTTTCCATGTACATTTGAACTAAATTTTTATATATGTGTGCATGTATCTCCACATATATACACAGACACACACCCCACTCTACAGATGAGTAGGCTGAGGCTTCTGAGGCTTTGGAAGGTTAAAATGTGGCACAATATAACCCTCAAATCACACACATTTTTAATTGGGCTATAATTCATCTGTGCTTGTGATGTGATCCTTTCAGTAAGATACATTTAAGGCAAGGGCTATTTTAGACCCCACCATTTCTGAGAATAAAATGTTAAGCCTTTAGTACTTACTACTTTTTACATTTAATTGATATAACTATAAATTGATAGCAAATGCGATTGATAGCAAGTACTGTAGCCAATGGTGACTAGCTTATTTTTCAGTATGTGGATGAAGAGGACCTGATGAACGCCATCAAGGGTTTCAGCTCAGTGACTAAGGAACACACCACATTTACTGACACCCACCTGTAAAGGACGAAAACCTGGAAGATGTAACCCTGGAAGGCAAGCTCTGTACCCTGTTCCTCCTGAGTTATCACTGACACATCATAAATGCTGGAAAGCCATGGTTTACTATCCTATATGTCTTTAAAGAAATGATGACTGTTTTTGAAAGAGTTCCTTCCTAATAGAGCTCTAAGAAATGATATTTTTCTGGTTGTCTAAAATGAGAGGTAATATTCATATGAAAATACTTGGTTTACTCTTATTTTGTGGAAGACAGAGGAGTACGTAATTGTCACTAGGCTCTGTTTGGCAATTAATGGTTAAATAATCAGTGACAATTTCAAGATGGCCCACAGTTGTTAGTAGTAGTAAGTTAGCTGCTGGTTCTATTGAAAGGATATCACTGCTGATCATTTCTATCTGCCATTTCTGTCAGGATTGAACCAATCCTGCAAGAATAGTGATTCTAATGACCACAACTGCTAAATGAAATCCCAAACTTTGCACCAAGTCTACATACTATTTATTTACAATACATAGGGTTACTCACCAAACTTCTTGACAAGGCAATACATAACTTACACTTAAATGTCTCTTTTCTCACATTTATGACTTTTCCAAAAATCTAAGGAATAAACAGCTTATTCATACATTTCGAAGAGAAAACAAAGTGTTTCAATAGGAACATCTCTACTTGAACCAATGTTTTTCACATATTTTATAGTTTTGAAACTCCAGTTTCTCATAAAATTCTGTCAGTTCACTGAGTATCAGAGAATAGTGACATGTTCAACTTAGCACATCAAGTGGAAACTGCTGTTCTATTTGCAATATTTAATTAGGTTACATGACATTTTAAAAGGAACAATGTATCTGTTCCTTCTAGCATTAACATACATACATGTAAAACAAGACTATGCCTATGTGTATATATGTATATCATGTATACATTATTCTGCACCATATCCCTTCTTTTTGGAGAACTACCCATTATTTTATCCATAGATCAGTAAGAACAGATGATACACAACAGTACCAATTCTATGGTTCAAAAACATCTGTCATCTGCTCTAGTTGGATTACTAAGTCATTGGTGAAAGTCCCATGGCAAGAAAAATTTCTAGCAAATCATCCACATAAAGTCAAAGAGGTTTACATTTATTTTTCATGGAAAAGATGTGAAAACCTCTCATCTTCCTTCATCCTTAAAGGTCTTCTTGACTCCAGGAAATTATTATGAATCTGTCTAACACATAATAGTCACAGTATTTTGTGAATCTATACCCAGAGGCAGGCAAAAACTTCTCAAGGGATACATCTTATTTTGCCTGAAACAATAAATTACCCCAGGGTCCAACAGTAAAAGATTGTGGACTTTTGGGGTATTAAGATTTCATCCAGCTCTGTGAGAGAGCAGCTCCACAGATTGACCAACTCCTAGATAAAGCTTGCTGGGCCGGGTGCGGTGGCTCACGCCTGTAATCCCAGCACTTTGGGAGGCCGAGGCGGGTGGATCACGAGGTCAAGAGATCAGGACCATCCTGGTCAACATGGTGAAACCCTGTCTCTACTAAAAATACAAGAAATTAGCTGGGCATGGTGGCGCGTGCCTGTAATTCCAGCTACTCGGGAGGCTGAGGCAGGAGAATTGCCTGAACCCAGGAGGCGGAGGTTGTGGTGAGGCAAGATCGTGCCATTGCACTCCAACCTAGGTAACCAGAGAGAAACTCCGTCCCCCCCAAAAAAAAGCTTGCCAACCATAAGTGTCAAATACACAGGCCAGTATCATGCAGAAGTTCTACCACCTCATTAGAACTGTTATAA